CAGTAGTAGTAGTAGCAGTAGAAATAGTAGTAGTAGTAGTAGTAGTAGTAGTAGTAGTAGTAGTAGAAGTAGTAGCAGTAGAAGTAGTAGCAGGCATAGCAGTAGTAGTAGCAGTCATAGCATTTGTAGTAGTAGCAGTAGAAGTAGTAGCAGTAGAAGTAGTAGCAATAGCAGTCATAGTAGTCGCAGTAATAGTAGTAGAAGTAGTAGCAGTGATAGCAGTAGAAGCAGTAGCAATAGTAGTAGAAGTAGTAACAGTAGTAGTAGCAGTAGAAGTAGTAGCAATAGTTGCAGTAACAGTAGTAGTAACAGTAGTAGTAACAGTAGTAGTAGTAGCAGTAGAAGTAGTAGCAATAGTTGCAGTAACAGTAGTAGTAGCAGTAGAAATAGTAGTAGTACAAGAAGTAGGTAGCAGTAGCAGTAGTAGTAGTAGAAAAAGTAGTAGTAGTAGCAGTAGAAGTAGTAGCAGGCATAGCAGTAGTAGTGGCAGTCATAGCATTTGTAGTAGTAGCAGTAGAGGTAGTAGCAGTAGTAGCAGTAGAGGTAGTAGCAGTAGTAGCAGTAGAAGCAGTAGAAGTAGTAGCAGTAGTAGTAGAAGTAGTAGCAGTAATAGCAGTAGAAGTAGTAGCAATAGTAGTAGTAGTAGTCACAGTAATAGTAGTAGAAGTAGTATCAGTAATAGCAGTAGAAGCAGTAGCAATAGTAGTAGTCGCAGTAGTAGCACTATATAAATGATTACTATATAAAAGTAGCACAATGATTCTTTCCGTCTCTACTATCTGCAATTCTGCAATACAATTCTATTTCACCTACTCTGATTTGTGTGGTAAAAGTACCAGGCTCAAGGCACAAGAAGAAATAATCATGTTCAGCATTTGTGAATTTACAGTACAATGTAATCAATGGGAAAAGTGCCTATTGCCCCTGATCGGAGAGCATGGCATCATCACATTCATATTCTGAAAACACTACTACACAAGACTGTAGTATGATGTCATCTGAAACCCAGCACCACGGGCAGTCAATGACCAGTGTTAATATGGCCGACATATCTCCCCCCGTTTAAATGTAATCTGTCAAATGTTTATGAGCTGGAAAACTACTGACATCTATCTGCATAATCCATATCACTACGCTGTGGTGTTATCGACTTCACTGAGAGGCCGGACGGGGACTTAAGCACCATGTTTTATTTCTATCTATGACTAAACACACACGCAGCATTTATTCAAAGCTTATGAACAATGTGTAGGCCATTTTGAAGGACGATATATCACTACAGAGAAATATTACGATAAACGATAATATTGAAAATACTTTATGCGACTGACAAAGCAAGATAGTGCAAGTAAACCGATTTGGAAATGTAAAGTAGCATTAAAAAGGCTGAGCTGCAACCAATAAGTGGCCGAAACCTTGCGTAAAAATGGCAACAACCTCTGCACTATTGCAAAGAAAAAGTATGCACAATAAATACTGAGCCACAAAATGTAAGAGATGTCAATATAGTAATTATCACGACAGACCTATCAATGTGACTATACTACTATAAGATCTGATTATAGGTTTGGTTTTGAATAATAAAAGATGTTACTGGTTTGCCTTTGTGGTATAAAGATGCCACATGTATTGGTTGACATTATAAACCAATAAAATATAATATGAAAGGAACAATATTGGACCAAGAGAGAAATCATATGTGTATTTGAAGACATTTAGAAGCTATGTGGGCTTTTCTGTTAAATGCCAAATTGATTCTTGTGAGCATTAAAATATGTTGTGATTAGGGCTGGGTATCATTACGAAGTTGTCCATATGATACATACCTCACTAGACACAGGCCACAAAATGATACATATCTCGATACTGGGGGCTTTCGATTCAATATGAAAAACCACGGCTGTGATACTAAAAGTCTTTGTTAAACTTCACTTCTTGTGCACAGTTAATATGAAAAATTTTACTCATTAAAATAGTGATGCATAAATGAGTTTCCTTCCACTGAACAAGCAACAAAACTGTAGCGCCGTAACAAAATAATTTAGTAAAATATACCAAAAAATACTCTAAGCGGTATATCAATACAGCAGCCCACGATACTGATACTGTATCATCACATTAAACGATATGATATATCGATATTTTGATATTTTTACACACCCCTAGTCCTAGTTAGGATGTTATTATCTCATGCATGGAGTTCTGTTCTGTTTCATTCACACATGTTTGAGTAACTCTTTATTATTAGTCTGTCTACATCTCCAAAGCTCAAAATGCTCTGTTCCACCTTGTGATGTCATATAGTCTTTAAATTAACAGCTACATTTTAGATCTAGTTCAGTAGAGACTGGCAATCCCAAATCTGAAATCATCCAAATGATTCTAGTGAAGGTGTGTAGGGTTTAAAAACACAGTGGAGCACCTCCTGTATTACCACATGGCATCACAAAGTGGAACTGAGCATTTGAGAGAAGAACAAAACACAACTTCAGGTATGTATTTGATGAGGAAATCACATTATAGCACAGATCCAAAAATGCCATAATAAGTCTTTAAAGTGGGTGCAACTCCTTCTACCAAAAGATCCAAAATGTATCTTTAGAGAAAGGTCCAAACAACAACTTTAATCAAAAAAGTTGGCATTGTGATCATAAAACTGCATTGTAAAATATATTCTATTAAGAGTACAAAGAACAGGTTTTCCTTTAAACCAATTTGTGTATCATTGTGATATTGAAAATGTAATAAAAACATAAAAATCCGAGCACTGCAAACTCAAATTCCCATAGCGTAGCCTTACATTTTACCGTCTACTACTACGGCTTAATTTCTGCTAACCCTGCACCACCTTCACTCGAGAGCTAATGAAACTCGCGATACCATCTCCACATCCCAACAGTCACCTCTGACTCGCCGCTAATTGGGAATTATACTGATTTCAATAAAACTGGTCAATGGAGCGCCTGGGGATTAGCAACAAGGCAAGCTAATCATCGGCTCTAAGTGGCTATATAAAGACATTATTAGACCTTAGACATGCGCGCAGGCCTACCAATATATATGCACAAGCACACGCACACACGCACATAGTAGTAGCTAATCGTTAATTCTTAATAATCTTAAATTCCTATTAGCAATTACAGAGTGAACACACAAAGGACTGGGGCCCCTTGGGAATAAAAGGGAATCAAGACACTTAATTCTACTTGACAACATAGCGCCGTCGAACATGGCGTTATGGGATAATTGGGTATTTGAGACAGAATAGGCCTGTGTGTGATCTATGCTAGAATCAGAACACGACTATCTGGAGTATCACCCCTCCCACTCTTCATCGCGTGCACAAAATTGAAGCTTGCATTTGCTTGTATTGAAAATCGTCTTGCTTTGAAGCTTGCCAAGAATAATAAACCCTCTAATTTCTGAATAGCGCCCACTGAAATGCACTATAAAGAGGAAGCTAATATCGGGATTCCACAACAATTTGACATAATTATGTGTAGAATGAGTGTGATTTGTTCAGAAGGCAGTGAAATGCTTTTCCTAATGATGCCTGTGTTTGTTTGTACTCCAGCACACACCCATCTCTCCAAAATAAGGTTTTCTGCCTCAGTAAGAAGATAAGGCCTTGCCCTAAACATGCTACTCTGCTGGGAGAAATTAGATCCATGCTGCTGGACCGTGACAGTGTGACCTTGTAAATGGTAGAAACAATATTTTTAGTTCATTGGGGTAATACTGTGTGACAAATGCTTATTATGGTAACTCAAACTTTTAACCTCAATTTTAAGATGAGAAGAAGAGGAGGGACAGGGAATGAAAACTTTTGACAAATAAAGCAGAAGAAAATGGATGTTGATGTGACTAAACGCTTCTCTGGAACATTAGGGCAAAGCAACACTACCTTCATGGTGATCAGCAACTACAAACCTGTGACCAAGCCATGTTACGAGTCAGGTTTGTGGGTGTTGTGGTAAGGATGTCAAAAATAACATATTTACTGGTTGCGTAAGGGTCCCAGGTAGTTTTATAGATAGTTTAGATTTGGCCTCTATGTCACAAAAGCATGTAAATGTTGTTTATGCCGCCATATTGGAGGTCAAACTATCTATCTGGACCAATGTGTAGTATTTATGTGCGATAAAATAAGAAGAATGCGCTGTGCAGTTTTCACTTTCGGCGGCACGGAATCCCCTTCCTGGTCCTCAGTTTTGGCGGCACGGAATCCCGCCCGCCCCAGTCCATGCCAGCGAAAGTCCTCACATTCGCTGGCATGGAATCTCCCCCTCAATTTCAATTTCCACCGCCTGGGGTAACTACGGTACTGATTTTAACCCCCCTTCTACTTACCCTGGCTGTTATCAGGAACAGATGTGATGGCCTAGTGATCAACAAAGATCTTACGCATCCCGCTATAAAATATTTACAAACCCCATATAGCTTTTCAGTTCTTGGTTGGTGTAGGACAATGCAGAATGAATTAAGTAGTTGTAAATATCTGGATATTGGAGGTTGGGCACAGAGCAACTGTCGGAATTAGGGATCTATTCTACAACCCAGGAGGATGACTTTAGTGTTATATCTTTCTAATGACGGCTGATCTAACGAGCTGGCAATTTTGGAACAATTTTGTGTTGTTTGTGCTCTTTAAAGTAGCCATGATTATATTGAAGTAACTGAATAACACCTTCTGGATCAACCCCAACCTTGACCTCCAGTATGGCTGCCAAAACATTAAGCCACATCTTTAAGGTTGCCATTAAATGGAAAGTAAAGTGACATTTGGTCCTGCAATACTCAAATCTTAAAATTGCCACCACAGGCAATTAAATTTGACTTTGTAAGAACCCAAATGTAAATGTCACTAGATACTAACATGTGCAATTGTTCCTGAACAATGGCAAAGAGATTATACACAGTAGGATTTAACTACAGGCTTTCCATAATCCTGCATAAATGACATCAAATTAGAATAGAATTAAATAGTGATATGAACTCACAGCTTTAGTGCACTGTACGTCCTTGCCGAGCAGCCAGTTGAGCTCCAGGTTGCCCTCTCCCTGGTAGCAGGACTGCAGCCTCTCCTTGATCCGAGCATTTATATCTTTGATGGTGAAGATACAGAGCGCTGAGTCATCTGGAGGCCGGTGGAACTGTTTTTGGCCTTTGGAGAAGACGGTAAAGAGAACATCGTCTTGAGCGCTGATGTTCAACGAAGAGGCTAGAACACGACCAGGTTTTCCAAGGTAGGCTGCCTGCAAAAGTCTGTACTCAATTCCATTCTTCACACAGCCAATCGGTAAGGATACGTAAGAGTGGAACTTGCGGTCATCCTTGCAAAGCCTGACAATGCGTGAAGTGTAGAACAGATCGCTCGGGGATCCGCTTGAGGACATGCTATTTTCAGGAATCTCTGGTTGGACGGTCAAGAAATACACAAAGCTACCACTCGAGAACCCATAGACGTAGTAGATATCAAAATGAGAGACTAGCGCCAGTGTGTCCGATGGGATTTTTATCAACGATGACACAAAATCGGTATGCAACTCGTAGTCGAGCATGGCAGAAGATTCTGGATCGCGAGGCAACTTCCGGCTGGAGATGGTGGGGAAGTAGTCCTGCTTTCCGTCAACAGCCGTCCCGATGAAGAGGGTCCCATCCTGGCCTTGAGAAGACACGATTACCCCGTACATGGTCCCGGTTTGGTTAACGCTAGAGAGGTAGTGTTCTTTTTTATGGGATGGCTCAACAAGGATAAAGAGATCGTCAAGTCGTAACAGCTTGCAGACACCTTGATATAAGCTACCGCAAGCCAGCAAGCGGTTTTGGGAGTAATCGATGAGAAGAAGTTTGTTAACGTTGTTGGTTGAGACTAGTGGTTCAGAGCATGGTTGAACTATAAGAGGTGGGTAGCAAGCTTTGTTGTCATTTTCAGGGCCGGTATCATGGGAGACTAGTAAAGTTAAGTTTCCGGAAAGCTTGTAAACACGGTTGACCGCTCCGATGTACAGAGCTCCTGTCGATCTGTGGACCGTCAAATGGTTGAAGACCCAATCCCGGCGTTCTGGGTGGAAACTATTGAATGTTTGTCCATGGCAGAAAGAAGCGAAGATCCATAGACTTACTAGAGAAGCTATCAAACCTAACTTGGGCGACAAAGTTCTTTTTATTGACCGCTCCATGTTTGTTGTGGCAGATAGGAAGTCGCAGAGGAAGAAGAAAGAACAGATGAAAGGAAGAAAGGCCAAGACCTCCTTTTTGTTATTGAAGGCTGACTTGTCGGCTGGGCCAAAGGTCTTCACATGGTTCTGCAAAAAGAGAAAACAGAAAATATACGTTAGATACTAAAAGATGTACAATAGAAGAACATAAAGCGTGAATGGGGAAGGTGTCAGTGGGCTAAAAGGTCACAGTTCATCGCAAGTTATATGGTCGTATAAAGAGAACAGCTCACAATGGACGGAAATCATTATGCTGCACATTCCACAGCAGTTGCCGGACAAAGCAGGAAGTAGAGGCAGGTTACTGTGGCAAGAATGAGAGTGACCTGAGTCATTCTTCCCCTCACTCTTTGAGGAACTGGTTTCCAAAAACTCTTATACACTCCTTGTAAAATGCAACTGAATGAAAAGCGACAAAGAGCTGACAAAGTATCATGGAATTTAGTATTACAAACTAAGCACTTCAGATTGCTTACTTATCACATGGGCGAAATGTGGTCAGGTACAGCACTGTGTTAAAGTTGATTTGTAAAAGACAGAAAATAATCGGAGGATTTGCAGTTTACTCTTTGTACAGTAATGTTTTTAAATGTACTTTACTGCAATCTAATTATTCCATCCCTTGAATAGAAAATGGTAACAAAAACAAACTACTTTTTAGACATTTCTTCACCGACAGATATATTTATATATATATATATTTGCATCTGAACTCTTCACACAGTACATGATCTCTGTCTAGCAAACTCAAGCTCATATTTTTGTTCACTGACACCGAATGAATGCACATACACAGTTTTATTGATTAGGTACACATATTATGTTGCTCCACTATTAAACTGGTAAACTACAAAATGTGGTCTACGTAGAAAGTGTTCTACCAAATGGTCTGATTGGGCAATTCATCTGTTGCTTGTGCTTTTATGTGCTATTCAAATCCAATTCATGCACATGTTCCCATTGGAGGTGCAGCTTTCTTTGTTGTGTGCTCCTGTGAACTGACTGAAATCAATTGCAAGGTCTTGATTGCAAGTGAAAAATAGTCATTGAAACAGCAAATAGAATTATCTGTCCCTGTATCATTTAAAGGGGCCATATTGCTCTATTTTCTGATCAGTTTCATAACTAGGGTCCGACCAACATATCGGTTGGCCTATATTATCAGTTGATATGGACACTTAGACACATATCAGCTATCGACCTAAATCTTGCCGATATGGGTCGGTAGTCCACGTGGGCATGTTATACCTCGTTATAAATCTTAGATTCTCTATATTATGTCAATTTAATCCAAATTACAGCCAGATAAATGTCCTAATATGTGGCGCTGCATCAGTGTTTATCTATGGAGTAATTTGTCTGTGTCTGTGATGCTGATGCCGTGAATCACTAAATTTATCGGCTTTTGGCACCTCCAACTCCCATTTTATTCTTATCAGTCAGGCCCTAGTTATAATGTTGATACAGGAAGTGCTGTACTGCTGTTTTTTTGTTGTTGTTTTTTTAACTTCATACACCTTCACTAGAATCATTTGGATAATTTCAGTCTCTACTCTACTGAACTAAAATTACCACTACATGACATCACGCAGTGGAACAGAGCATTTCAAGAACATGTGAATGAAACAAAACACAACTCCAGCTATGTTTTCGATGAGGTAACGACATTATAACATGACTGAAAGCTCACAAGAGTCAATTGTGCATAATATAAGACCTTTAAACTGAATTCTTATAATGGCTAAGACAGACTGATTTTGCATGTTAACCATTCCTCTTTAAATAATTCACTTTATTTGACAAAACAACATGAAATATTGAAAATAAATATGTCAGATTTCATGATATCGCTTGTGCTTTGCTTTATACATCTTTTTTTGTTAATCTACCCCTAATGTAATCCACGCATATCAAACATTTGCATATAAAACTAAGCCTCTGAACTCCACAACCTCTATCAATTTGACACTTATTACATTATGCCACTGTATTCTCACCGGGGCATTTTCCTTGATCCACAAACACCACCTTTGCTAACAAGATTACCATAGCGCTGCTTTTTTCACCTTTTGCATTTCATATTCATAGCCCGTGCTTACATGTGTCTACCGCCCTGCCCCCCACCGGCTCCGGCTCCTTCCATCTCCGCATATCTCTAAAAACATACAGTCCCACATCAGGCTACGATAGAGGATTTATTCCGACGAGCAGAGGCTGGGCTGTGGAGATGTATTGGAGAAGGCTGTAAAACCTCCGCACGCTGGCTGTCCCTGGGAGTTAATTATCTCGTCCATTGGAAGGGAAGGCCTGGATCTTATTACTGGAACAAAGTGAGAACAAATTGGGAGCCGCTTCAGCACACCCCTTCTCCCTTTGACTGTATTACATAGGCTACTGTATAGAGCTCGTTTTACACTATCTGGATCTGTTAATTATTGAATTATGGGCAGTATTTTTTCAAATGTATTTAGGATTCATGTAAAAGAGGAGTTAGTCTGTGATAATAATACTTGAATCAATTTAGATTATAGCATTAGTGTACCACAGTGTAGACCTGCGTAAGACCCTTGACCTTATCTTAAACCCTACAATATGGTTTGGTACAAGTTCAGAGGTGGTTTTACAGTGGGTTCGAATTTGCCATGTCAAACTGGGACTAGAATGGGACTTAAAGGTGCACTATGTGACTTTTTAGTTGGAGGTCCCTCATCTTCTATCCTGATTCATCCATCTGACCTCACAGCATTAGGATTCGTTTGCTCAATGGTAAGCGGGTACTTTTTTTATTTAACCAATTGCTGCTATTTGGTTGTGACATATCAGTAATGAGCTGAATCGCATAGGAAGAAGGGCAATATTGTCTTTCCCCTTGATAAAATTCACCAAACATTCTCTTTGTTCTGGCTTTAAATCCTCAATCTCGGGAACTGTTGCCAACACAGAATGTCACGCTTCGTCTACATCCATCTCGACCGCTTTGTTTACTGTTGTGTTGTACCACAAGACCCAGTCTTGGCTTCACAGCTCTTCGCTGATTGGCGGGTCTACAGCGTCCAGGGTTTCTTGCAAACTGTCTATGTGTATTCTGATTCCTGACCTAGTCTACACTAGGTGGCACCAGCCTGACTAGTCACCTGCTTGTTTCTATGGATAAATCATTGCGCAACCTGGAATGTTCCATAGTATGAAAGAAGCTCTACTTTACATTTATTCAATTACAGGTGGATTTAAAACTCAAAAATGCAATGCAGAAAACAGGTACTGGGGTTGCCTTTCCATGGATTTGACCTGTAACTTAGTCTCGTTTGGTCTCCATGAAGATGAAAGGTTTATACCACACTGTCAAAATGGTTTTGTCTTGATTTTAGCTACAGTTGCATTTGACTTGCATTGAATATATCAGATCTGGCATACAGTTTGTATTTGTATTGTTTTGGTTCGAGTTCTAGTTTGGCATTTGTTAATCCTGGGTTTAGTCTACTTTCTATACAGGTTTAAGTCTTTAAAGATGCATTGTGTAACGTTTCTGGTGGAGGGTCTGTCAAATGCTTGCCTCCATGGAGATGTTATTGCATGAATGTTTCACAGTATGATATGAAACCTTTCTATCAAAATGGAAACCAAACCCGAACCATTCTATATTACAGGTCAGATCTGTGGAGAGGCAACCCCACTCACTCAAAGTTACACAGTGCACTTTAAACTGTGGTTTGAAGTTGGTTTAGTCCAGTTGTGAGCCTCTTGCAGCCTTGGATTTGGGCTGATTTATTTTGCTTAATTCTTCATTCTTCCTGGTTTACAACTGATTTTGTCTTTATTTAAGATTTGTTCTCCTTATTCAATTTAATTTTAGCTTGTTGAGAGATAACATTTTGAAAATCACACTCTTATTGTTGGAAATCTGTACGCATAAACAGCCTGTGGAAAACTGTGCCGGTTATCAGTGTACTCTATCAGAACGGAGAGCTTTAAGGGGCTAACAAGTGCAGACAATGGCGGAGCATCCCCAAATCAAGTATGATTAGGCGTAGCAATGCAACATGGGTAATTACAGACGAGCGAGAAGAGGTGAAGCCAGGCAGGGGCAGGGGGCCATGCCGGGGGGGGGCATACGTGTCGGAATCGGCTGTACTTCGTTTGTCACGGCTCAGACAGATTTGCATTTCCAGAGGCAGGAGAACAGGAATCAAGGGTGAAGGATGTGGCTGGAATAATCACACAGTAGAAGACTTGAATTAATAAGCAGCATTAGAAGGGGAGATAGGAGAATGCAAATGAAATGTTTAAGATTAAGGATCGGTCAGTTGTGTCCGATGTGCAAGCTATGGGGCCAATCAAAGGGTTTTGTTGAATTTAAAAAGTCTATAATTCTGTTCATGTAAAAGCAGGTGCATAGTTTAAAAGAGTAAACTTGTCTTTGGAGTGTTAAATGGCCCTGTAGGATTCATTTGTTGTTTAAATGTACACAGTGTAATTTTTCTAAAGGGTTCATCAGTTATTTTTCTACATTATACTGTAGAAACCAACCAACCAATCTACATCACGCTGATATTTGCACTTTTTAGCAAATTGACTATCGGCCTTAAATCTCCAGCATTTTGTTTGGCCCAACCAGCTGCCTAAATATGCATAAAACATATCTGCGTAAAGCTGTATTTGAACACTTTAGTCCAAAGAGGCTACTGCAAAAATGTGACAACACTGCTTTTTTATCCAGTTTGTAATCAGTAAGTTCATATTGAATTCTAATTAGTTAATTTGGGGAAAAATACAAAAATTGTCCCTGCATATCAGCGTAAAAATATTAGCAGAGATCATTGGCCATCATTTTCTCTGGATTCTAAACAATCAGTATTGGCATTGGGCATGAAAAAACACTGAAATGTTCCACAGCATGGCATTAAGCTCATATATCCTGGAAAGCATGCAACACCACCAGACCATGTTTAGAACTGCAGAGACAAGCCCACTCACAGTTAGAATGGGTATCAAGTAGGTTTGTAACGATATCCAAGTCTCACGATATGATTTCGTCACCGTATGAACCTCACTGTATGATATTTATTGTGAT